GTATTCATTTGTCTGATTCTTTTTTTTTCATTTCATTCATTTTGTTTTGATGTTGTTGTTGCTGTTGTTTTTGCATCTCGTTTTGTTCGTTTCCATTTCGAATTACGTTTGGTTTTCGGTTACGATTGCTTAACGTTTTCGAGCAATAATCATACGTCGTGTGACACGCCGTCGGTTAACAACAGCGCAACGGTGGTTGGACAACCGAGACATAACTAACTAAACGTGTATTACAGATTTGGAAAAATAAAAAAGAAATACATTTTTATAATTACAGAACAATAAGTGACAAAGATAAATAAATAAGAAAAAATAAAACAAATAAAAAAATAAATTGAAGAAGAACAAGTTTTGGCCATCTCTCGGCCAATCATCTCGTTTTACAAACACAACGCATTTAATTGCAATCGGATTGTCGCCAAGTGTAATGCTACGGGCTTTCGTGTTTCGGGTTAATTGTGGACAATTTTTTGCAATCGAATTGAAAATAAATTCAAATTAATAATAACAAATTAAATAAAATTATTTAAATAAAATAAATGCTAATTGAAAATAAAATTTTCTATATTTTAGAAATTCATTAGAAAAGAAAAATAAAATAAAACTAAATAAAATTGGAAAAAGGTGAATATTTTTGCAATCTTATAAAAAATATAAAATCATTTCTATTGTGGAATTAAATAAATAAAATGCCGTTGGTCTTTTTGTGGAAATTAAGTAAAACATTTGAAATGTTATTGGTTAAATTTTAATTAATTAAAAGTGCTTAAAAGAAATAAATATTATAAAAATTTGGGTTTTTATTTTAAATATATAATTAAAAAATAATTTTTTAAAATTGGAATTGTGAAAAACAATTACAATATATTACTAAAATTTCCAAATTGGACAATTGGTAAAATATCAAGTGAAATGTATTTATAAATATTTTTAAATTAATTGGGGGTCACACTGCGTTTATTTTTCTAATTATTTTCAAGTAACTTCCCTTAGGATGAAATTCAAAGAATATTAGAATTACCAATAATGTATCTTATTTTTTTATTAGCATTTGAAAAAAATAGTGAAATCAATATATTCTTTTCAATTCAGAAGAATATAGTCTAATAAATAGTTGTTTTTATAAAAAAACAAACTGGGATTCAGCCTGAATATTTTGCAATAACGGATATCTATATTTCACAATACTAAAAATTGTGAAAATATTGTCAAAAATAAAATAGTAAATCCTCTCTATGCAATATAATAAATTAGAGAGTATTCAATAAGACTTCAGCTTTCGAATACAAATTTAAAAATTATACTAGCTCAATATGAACCTAAAATATGGTCCTATACTGGGTATAGGTTTCATATTATCCCCATAATAATTAAGCTGATGATGCTTGTAATACATAAAAAATAACCAATCATCTTGAGGCACTTTCAGTGGAATTTTTAGAAAATCTTCCAAGCCTAATTTTCTGAAATTGCTATGTTATGGCCACACAAAAAAGTTTCATACTAAGAAAATATTTGTCAGAATTTAAATACTATTTCCAATACAATCGTGTAAAATTTCAATTGAAAAGGGTCAAATGAAAAATCGACATTGGCTATGAATAAAAACCGACTAGGAAACAAAATTGAAGAATATTTTTCGAGACAAAAGAATAATAAATTTTGCGGAAAAGAATAAAACTTCTCAACATTTGATCTCTCATAATACATCGTGGACATTTTAATGGATTTAACTAAAAAATATATTTAAAACATTGTGAAAATAAGAAGAAAAATATCTATTTTAATATTAATATCATTTGACGTTATTTCGCTATTGCCTAGTATACCTAGAAATTGAGGACAATCACAGAAAAATTGAACATAATTAAGGAATACAGAAAAATAACACAAGATTTATTGACTCTTTGTATAAAAAACTCTAGGTATTTCATATATGAGAATATGGTGTAAGAACAGTGGAAGTAACTTCCAATTGAGGCTCCAGATATTGTAATGGAGGACGCTTCAATAAAGAAGTTGACAAATAAACCAATTTTTTACGAAATATGTGGACGATATACTTTGCGCAGTGAATAGAAAAAAATCATAAAGTTTTCATATCTTGACACCATAATAATCCGACAAGGCCTAAAACTAACCATAGATTGGTACCAAAAGCTCATCGCATCTGGAGGTTTAATTAAATTTTACTCTAGGCATTGCTGAGGAATAAAACAAATACGGCCATAAACTTCATAAACAGAGTACTTAATATAAGCGACGAACGAATGATGAAAGTATACGCAATATACTGATAAACAATTATTCCCACAGAAAACATTTGATGAATTACTAAAATCCTTCAGCTTCAAGAACAACAAGAAGACGATATATCATTCAAACCATAACTTAAGTAACTGCTGGTCTTTCTGAGAGATTGTATAATTTGGCATGAATAAAATTATCAATTAGCCTTAAAATCTAAGAATAACGCCAGGAAAACAAAATTAAAGTATAAAAAGGAATGTAGTATATAAGCTAAGATGTAATGGCGACAAATCTCATGTATGCCAAAAAGTATATGTTGGTACAACAATAACTTAACTTAAGACAAGACATTCTGGACATAATTCAGATCAAAAATCGGACAAAACTTCAGAAAAACGCGCTTACTGCCAACTTTTAAAGACGTAGACATAATGATCCAGGATAAAAATTATACGATGATATACCCTAGAAATGTTAAATATACACCTAACGATAAGAGAATGAATTATAAGATTGACATGGACCACTGTGCACATATTTGCAGAAATTTAGTTCATAACAAGGCATAATTATTCAAGGTAGTCTCATTTGAAAAATTGACAATGACAACCATTCATCAATTTCAAATAAAATATAAAATTTATAAAAATAAACATAAAATTTTATGTATGTCAATTGACATATTTTCAAAAAATTTAAAATGTAGGCTGCAAATTGTTATCACGATGTAAATGTGGGTGCTACAATATATATTTATGAATTTTAGAGGAAAAAAAATTTGCCACTGAACAATTGATGTGCGTATATTTCAAAGGAAGGTATTTTCATTTAAATACTTATATTTTTGTAGTATTTCCCTGAAGATTACTGCCGAAGGCAGTTGAAATATTGGAATATAAAAATAAACAAAATTGACGATTTTTAAATTGACCTAAAGCCAAACAATATCCAGCTGTAATCTCTTACTTGCCCACTGTGTATCCTATATTATTAATCTTTCCAAATGCACTGTGAGAAATTCCACACCTTGAAACACAAATAATGGTTATTAATTACGTGTGGGAAGTAATGCAATATCCATACGCATACTGCTTTGATCTGTCAATTTCTTCTGATTTACCTTAAATACCGCTTAGTTCACTTGTCGGCATCTTTTTTATTTAAACAGTTTTAGTTTAGTCTATTTGTTGTTAAAATTATTTAAAAAAATATACAATGCTGATAGATTGGATCTTCTCTATATGAGAAAAAGTTTATTTCATTTTGAACACCGAAAATCTATTGGTGCCTTCTTTAACTTGAGTTGCGGTAAATAGTCACATAAAAGATTATGATAATACATATTGTATGAAATTATATAGTTCGCAGTATAGATATACCTAACGAAAGAAAATGTTCACAAGAATTATTTGTATTTTAAATTCCGCAAATCATAAAGCCTATTGTGACCACTCAATGAAATCTAAAAATATAATAATATCACGCTATCGTAGAGTAAAATTTATAGTTAGTGAATGTTTAATGGCACAATGGAAAGCATATTAGGATATGGAAATCTTATCGTACATAAGAAGTCTTCGAGGCTTTAAAAACTAAATATGCAGACGTATAGTAAAATACCATGGACTGACTTTAAATTCAAATTCAAACTGGACATACCTCTAATTTTAAAGAAGTTGCCAAATTAAGTCGCGATGCAAACTACAAAAGAATATATATTTTGGAAATGTTGTCCATTATAAATGCTCCTGTGATAAATCGAATGAATTATAAGACAGATACGTAAACTGTGCACAAATATACAGTAGCAAAATGGAAAAACACAAAAAAGAGTTAGTTGAGCAATGAGTGCGGAAGTTTTTTATACGCATACAAATGTACCAAGTTAACAATTTTGTAATTTTGTTAATATATTGATGTAATTATGTTTTTTGAAGTCTATGCCTGATGAGTACAAAGATCAACAATAAATTCTATTCCATTGAAATTTGGTAGACATATTAGAGAAAGGGAAATAAATAAATCTAACTGCAGTACTTACCTGGTAGATATAAAATGTTTGTCTCGACGAATTCAATTGGGAAAGCATTATCCAACATTTTTGCCGAAACCTGAAATACAAAAATTTTAGTATTAGCATTTTTTTTTTTGAAGCTAGAAAAATATTGAAGAATATATTATTATTTTAAGCCTAAGGTTTATCTGAATACAATAAATATTTCTTATGCCTGTGATATTTTTAAAAGAGTTTCCGCATTTAGTAGTCATTCAAAAAATATTTGTAAAACAAGAAAAAAGACCAACTGTATTTCATATTATTAAACTAAAAATAAATACACTTAAATTACAACTATATTATTAAAATAATATATTTCCCCTTTCCCATTTTTTACAGCTTCTCAAAAAACAGGACATTAACTGTATAAAGTGTGTGCGTGAAAAAAGTGAAAAAAAAGTAAACTTCCCCACCACAGACACTATGAATTTCATCACTAGACTAGTATGATTTCGAATTGTGTTGAGTCGAATCAAAGTGAAAAACAATTATTATCATTTGAAAATTCCGCAAAAATTAGCGCAGATCAAGCCTCGACGCGTGGGGCCTTGATTAAAGTGAAAAGTGAATTTCATTTAAATGCCATAGCACAAGAAATGAACAATAATCACAATAATAACAACAACAATAATAATAACGATATTATTTTAATAAACAACAACAATAATATTATTAACAATAACAACAACAAAAGTCCTTTACACCCAAAATTAAGTCCTAACTATTCATCCGCCTATCATCATCTCCATCTTCAACAACACCAACAACAAATTAACGCCATGAATTCCGCCACAATGCTGATGCATCATCAGCAGCAACAACAACAACAGCAGCAGCAGGCCCAGCAGCAACAACAAAATGGAGCACGTGACAGCAGTAGCAGTCGCGGTACAGAACGTGGTGATGAACGCGGTACCAATGGACGTTCATCGCATACCGGTCGGGGATCCAGCTGTTCGCCAGCCTCATCGCCCACACGTCATGGCAATGCCGTTAGTCCGGTCACCTCATTGAATCACAGTATGATGCAACAAATGCAGCAACAACAACAGCAGCATCAGCTATCACCACCACCCCATATGGGTGGTGTGCCCACACCAAACGGTCTACCGGCCGGTTTACCGCCACGCATGCCTCATGGCCTGCCACCACATTCTCTTGGGCTACTCAATTCACTACAAATGATGCATCATGCCTCACCGTTGGAACTGATGGCTGCCGCTCATCATCATGTACCGCCACGAACCTATAACAGTCCACCACCAATTTCCACCTCAGACCCTAGTGCCAATGAATGTAAATTGGTCGAATATCGTGGTCAAAAGGTTGCTGCTTTTATAATAAGCGGCGAGACAATGCTGTGTCTGCCGCAAGCTTTTGAATTGTTTTTGAAACATTTGGTCGGTGGCCTACATACGGTCTATACGAAACTGAAACGCCTTGATATTGTACCGTTGGTATGCAATGTGGAACAGGTGCGAATATTGCGCGGTTTGGGTGCCATACAGCCGGGCGTGAATCGTTGCAAGTTGTTGTGTTGCAAGGACTTTGATATTTTATATCGCGACTGTACAACAGCAAGGTAAGTGAGGGGAATATTAAGAAAATTCAAAAGAAAGGGGAGGGTGGGTTATTTCTTTAAATAGGTCTTTAAAAGACCTATTGGCTAGTTGAAAAAATATTTTTAAAAAAAGTCTTTAAAAAATCCACGCCTGTGATAGCCCTTCTTTAAAAAATCAACGCCCTTGAAAAAATATTCTTTAAAAAATCCACGCCCTTGAAAAAATATTCTTTAAAAAAATCCACGCCCTTTAAAAAATATTCTTTAAAAAAATCCACGCCCTTTAAAAAATTATGCTTTAAAAAATCCACGCCCTTGAAAAAATATTCTTTAAAAAATCCCATCCCTTGAAAAAATATCCTTTAAAAAATCCCATCCCTTGAAAAAATATTCTTTAAAAAATCCCATCCCTTGAAAAATATTTTTTAAAAAATCCACGCCCTTGAAAAAATTTTCTTTAAAAAATCCACGCCCTTGAAAAAATATTCTTTAACGAATCCACGCCTGTTGATAGCCCTTAAAAAAATCCTCGCCTGTTCATAGCCCTTAAAAAAATCCACGCCTGTTGAAAAATATCTTAAAAAAGTCCTTGAAAAATATCTTTAAAACAATCCACGCCTTGTTGGCTGCTTGAAAAAATATCTTCAAAAAAATCCACGCCCTTTAAAAAATATTCTTTAAAAAATCCACGCCCTTGAAAACATATTATTTAAAAAATCCCATCCCTTGAAAAAATATCCTTTAAAAAATCCCATCCCTTGAAAAAATATTCTTTAAAAAATCCCATCCCTTGAAAAATATTTTTTAAAAAATCCACGCCCTTGAAAAAATTTTCTTTAAAAAATCCACGCCCTTGAAAAAATATTCTTTAACGAATCCACGCCTGTTGATAGCCCTTAAAAAAATCCTCGCCTGTTCATAGCCCTTAAAAAAATCCACGCCTGTTGAAAAATATCTTAAAAACTCCTTGAAAATATCTTTAAAAAATCCACGCCTGTTGATAGCCCTTAAAAAATCCACGCCTGTTGATAGCCCTTAAAAAATCCACGCCTGTTGAAAAATATCTTAAAAAAGTCCTTGAAAAATATCTTTAAAACAATCCACGCCTTGTTGGCTGCTTGAAAAAATATTCTTTAAAAAAATCCACGCCTTGTTGGCTGCTTGAAAAAATATCTTCAAAAAAATCCACGCCTTGTTGGCTGCTTGAAAAAATATTCTTCAAAAATCCACGCCTTGTTGGCTGCTTGAAAAAATATCTTCAAAAAAATCCACGCCTTGTTGGCTGCTTGAAAAAATATCTTCAAAAAATCCACGCCTTGTTGGCAGCTTGAAAAAATATTCTTTAAAAAAATCCACGCCTTGTTGGCAGCTTGAAAAAATATTCTTTAAAAAAATCCACGCCTTGTTGGCTGCTTGAAAAAATATTTTTTAAAAATCCACGCCTTGTTGGCTGCTTGAAAAAATATTCCTTAAAAAATCCACGCCTGTTGATAGCCCTTGAAAAATATTCTTCAAAAATCCACGCCTGTTGATAGCCCTTGAAAAATATTCTTTAAAAAATCCACGGCTGTTAGTAGTCCAACAGGCGTGGATTTTTTGTCCTTATTGATAGTCCTTGAAAGAATATTGTGAAAAAATCCTTTGGTTATTCTTGCACGTGTATGTGTGTATTTGTCTGTGACTTTTATTTTTGTATCAAAAAATATTTTTGAGTATGCCCAAAACCGAGTAACTCTATTTTTATTGCCTGGTTGGAGTTCTTATTTTTTTTTCTGAACTGGTTTGAATAATTGCCTAGCTTGTGTGTGTACAATAATACAATAACCCAAAACATTCGAACCAAAAAAAAAAAAGGAATTCGTTTTCATAAACCCTAACTCTGGCCTCCTCCTTCTGCTCTCTCTCTGCTGGTTATTGGCCTTTTTTCTCCCAGTCTTGTTCAACAACAAGGCAAATATACTTAAAAAACACAGTTGAAGAACAAGAAGAAGAGACAGCAGAGGATTTTTCACATATGTATGTACTTGAATGTTGTTGGGCACAAAAAAAGGGTTACTCTAAGTGGCATTTATAGTAGTGTAGTTGTTGTAGTAGTTTGCTGCTGCCGTTGCTTTTGTTTTGGCTAATGTTGTGGATAACCAAGTTTAAGTGGTTTTTCTGTATGACTACCAGCCAAGCTAACCAACCAACCAAGTAGCCATTCCGAAAGCCCGCCATCCCGCCAGCCACTTTAAAATTTTCAACCAAGACCATTTTGCTCGACGATAGTTGTAGCCCAGGCGAACAAACAGTATGTGGTGTAGTCCTCCAAAAAGACTTTTTATTTTATTTCTGTCTGTCTTTGGTATAGACCATTTTTTCTCCTGAGTGAAAGGGTCATAATATGTTCGTATACATACGTATATACATATGTGTGTGTTCACATATATAAATTTGGTTATTAGCAGCTATTTAATGAGCCATATTATTTACATGTTTATTATTTAAGTTTGTGTGTGTGTGTGTGAGAAGCCTCCTTTGGCAAATGTGTTCATTTTCCATATAAATTAAAATGTTTAATAATTAAATTTCTTTTTGGCAGCACTTTTTATTAGAGAAATATTAAATTTTAACAGTGAATGGAAAATAAAAATTTTCAGTTGGGATTAAAAAAAAAAACCAGAAAAATACTCAGACGCATGGAAAGATTTTAAGTTCAGCAGATGTTGGCATAGAAATTAATTTTCAGGTGTATTAATTATCTAAGTATTTAAAAATAGTAGACTAATTATTTTATAAAAATAAATATTTGGAAAAAACATATAAGAGTTCAGAATCATATATATTGGATTCGTATGTAGTCAAAATTGCGTATAACTATACCATTTGTAACGATGAAATCCAAATGTCGCAATTTTTTAAACCCACACCTTGTTTAGGTCCTCAATAAAATATATATATTTTTTAAATTGTGTTCTTCGTTTAAAAATATTTTAAAAAAATCACCCACGCTTTTTGATAGTTTTTCAAAAAATATGTTTTAATAAAAAATCCATATTAAAACCAGTAAGGAAAGTAGTAAAGTCGGACGGGGCCAACTATATGATACCCTTCACCACATTGGGTATATTCAACAGATGAATCAGATCACATCTAACATACGTCGCATTTTTAAAGGACCACTAAAATGAAATTGGATCCATAAACATGTCATTTTGCAACCTATACTAAATTTTTCATTCAGATCAGATATAGAAGTATATCTAAATCTGAACCGATTTCAACAAGACTTGCTAGAGATTAATTTATATTAACTACAGTTCATTGTACAAAATTGTGTGGCAATCGGACAAACTTGGGGTCTTTAGAGCACAATTTACATTAAATCGGACGAAAATATAAATGGGAGCTATGTGTAAATCTGAACCGATTTTCAGCAAACTTAGCACACATCATTCTAGACTTAATTCATTACGCTGTGCCAAATTTCATGCAATTCGAAAGATATATAGGGACTTTGATACACCATTTACCTAAAATCGGACGAAAAAATATATATGGGAGCTATATCTAACTCTGACTCGATTTTCTCGAAACTTAGCACACATTATTCTAGGCTTAATTCAGTAGGCTGTGCCAAATTCCATGCAATTGGAAAGATATATAGGAACTTGTGTGCTCCATTTACCTTAAATCGGACGAAAATATATATGGGAGCTAAATACAAATCTGAATCGATTTTCACGAAACTTAACATACGTCATTCTGGACCTAATTTATTATCATATGTCAAATTTCGTGCAAATCGAAAGATATATAGGGACTTTGATGCCCTTGGGCCAAATAAGTGACTTGTGCCAAATTTCATCCAAATCAAATTTCATCATAAATGCGACCAGTACTTTGTTTACAATTTAACATGGACAGACGGGCGGACATGCATAAATCGACTTAGACAGTGATTCTATGCATATTCTCAAAAGAAACCATGTGTCTATATCGTTTCCTATTGCCTGTTACAAACATATGCACAAAGACATAATACCCTGTACCACTGTGTGGTGAAGGGTATAAATATATGTATTTAAAACCAGTCGGACGGCCGGCCATACGATATCCTACACAACTACCACGGAACTCTAACATTCTGGGGATTTTTATTCCGAGCCTGAGCAATATTTTGTGATAGTTGCACCCTCTTGCCCGGTTAGAGGTCAACAGCACCTCTTCCTTACACTGACATATTTTCGAATATTACTAATATTCAGTATAGTCCTTCTATTTAATTGTCCAGATTCCCTTCACCGTGGTTTGTTTGGTGATGTTCGGCTTATAATTGTGGCCTATAGATCGACTTGAAAAACAAAAAATGGTTCTAGGTCCGCTTATTATTATATAATCATCACTGAAAATTATAGACGTCGTCTTTGGCCATAACTGGAACCTCCTGGAAAATTTCAAAGCGATCAGCGCTATTTCCGCCCTCTAGTGTGGTAATGTGTTACTTAATAATACCTGTATATGCAAGCACCTGTAAGTCTTTAAGTGTAACTCCCACAACCGAGTACTCACGAGAATATAAATGGTATCAATTTAAAGGTCAACCACTCCTCTTTGATACAGTATCAACGGGTATATGTGCTTCAGGAGTAAAAATATACGCCATAGAATACAACATTTGTGATTTTTCATACAAAAGTAAAGGTCCATTTGACCCGCTAAATACTGACCGATCTTTATCAAACAGGCATGATTATTCTTTGGCCCTATACCCGTCTCCATGTAATAATTGCGCCCTCTGGAGCGACCAGAAAAACCGACACAAATTTAGTATTTGGTTCATTTCATCCCCTAAATATTAACCGATCTTTACCAAAAACAATAGGAGTCTTCATTGGCCAGAACCCATCCTGCATGCAAAATTTCGTGAAGATTGGTTCATAACTGTGACCTGTATCGTGTTTACAAATTATAATGTGGACACACATGTCTTAAGCTAGTCAGATATGACGAATACTTATGGGTCTATTATTTCGCGGCGT